ATATATATATATATATAATGGCCAGCTGTGTAGACACACAGTGTGCGATTTGCATGTGGGGGGGGGCCTGTGTCTCTGAGCAGGTCTTTCTGCCGTTCGCGATTTTCGATCTTCCCAGCAATGTGTTGTGCGAACATCCTATGTATATCTATCTATCTATCCATCCATCCATCTATCTATCTATTTATCTATCGATCTGTCTATCTATCTATCTATCTATCTATCTATTTATCTATTTATCTATCGATCGAGCGATCTATCTATCTATCTATCTATCTATAGATGAAGTGGTTCTTCTGAAAATCCTAAGTTTAGTTTCCGCATATAGACCTCATGCAAAATAGAACCTCGTTATGTGCTCGTGCTCGTTGTGTGAGGCTTTATAGGGTTTTTTTGTTTTGCTTCCATCCTCTATGTAGCTGTTTGGGCACCATGGAGGATGGAATGCCAGCTCCCAAGAGAAGGAAGGGGGGTATTCAGCAGAGGCGGGCTGCTGATCGTGACGAAACGACAGGCCAAAGTGCTTTGCATGAGCTCCTCATGACCTATCTGGCCCAGGGCATTTTGTCGGCTTCGATGTGCTGGAATATTTCAAGGGCAGCAGCAGAAGACGTGAAACGAGCCGGCGATGGCATTTCGTTTCCGGATTTGGAGCATTTGGCAAGCTTCAAATCAGCGAAGAACGTGCAGAGGGGCATCGATGGGTTGTTAGCTAAGCAAGCTTCTTGGCCGATGCCCACGGAGGTGGACATTCCTATGCAAGGGACAAATGCCAACAAGGCATCCTCCTATGTCATGCTTCCACACGAAACGTTTGTTGCCCTTTACAATAGCACTAAAGGCTGGGCCTCATCGATCTTGCCGGATCCTTCGAAGCTGACTGCCTTCTGGGACACGTTTTCCGGACACCCATCGATGATGGACCATCCTATATCGAAAAGGGGGGACCGGGACCATGCAATCCCCTTCAGCCTCCACGGCGACGAGGTGCCGATAACGGGTATCGGCAAGATCTGGAGCAGGGCTGCCCTCTGTTTCTCCATGAGCAGTCTCATGGCAGTTGCAGGAGGCAGGAGTGCTGCGGAATCCAGCCTCTACATATGGGGCGTTTTCGAAAAGTTCATACTCCCCACAGACGGTGTGATTCTGGGTACCATGGATACTTTTTGGATGTTGATGAAGTGGTCATTTGAAATCCTCATGTCCGGAAAATGGCCTTCAAAGAACTGGAAAGGCGAAAAGATCCATGGCTTTAGTATTTACATTATGTGGTTGTATAGAAATCATTCTTTCTTGGGTTTAGGAAGTATAAGATCACAGGGTACTGAAGGGTTTGTATATATATATATATGTATAGGGTTTAAGGTTCATATATACATATATAGGGCAACAAAAAGTGTGAGTATACTTTATAGTGTTAAAGATATGGTATTACATGGAACTATGCATAATATTCAGATATGTATATATATATATACATAGTGATCATATAGCACTATTCCTATTTAGTATTATATATGTTCATTTTTTAGTTTGTGTATATATATATATGTGTCACAATGCAAGGTACAAGCCGGGCACTCCAGAGTTTCGGCGAGCAGGTTCCTTTCTTTGCGATGGCTACTACGGTGTGCTGGTGCAAGCTGCCGGGGATTTAGACTATTACTGCAAATGGCTTGGTTGTCCCAACTACGGTAGCCATGCAAAGTGTTGCCCGCTGTGCCGGTGCACTTACAAAGGACAAACCTCCTGGCTGGACAACCGCAAAGAGTCCAAATGGCAGAAAACCCTGGTAACAGTCAAAAACTGGAGGACACACTGGGACCCAAGCTGCCTTCTGTTTGGACTGGGTGGCTTCACCTCTTTATGCATTGCCATGGATTTCATGCATTGTATGCATCTAGGGTGGATGCAGTTTTTCTTCGCCAGTGCTTTACTTTTGCTTATGGAAGACTGTTTGGAAGGCACTGATGTGGAAAAACTCCGGCAAATCCAGCAGTACATCTATCATTTCCAAAAGGAGACAAACACCAGATACCGCTTCAAGCAGAAGCTCCTGAAAATGACCATGGTGAAACCCAAAAAGGGCTTTCCTAAATTGCGAGGACGTGCTGCAGACATCCACAGCCTTGCCGGTGCGATTGAAAGCTTGTTCGCCCATCACATGGATGAAGCAGATCCAAACCATGGTCGCATCAAATTGGTGCTGAGCTTGAACAGGGAACTGTCAGACTTGCTAGACGAGTATGGCCCAAGATACGGCTTCACAGCTCTTCCTGACCAGCAGGCGAAGCGAGCCTACAGCATCGGGCTAGAAATGGCTCAAGTGCACGTGCACTTGCAATCTCTTTACGAAGAGGAAGGTCGTAAGCTTTTCAACATCACGACCAAGACACATTTTGTGTTACACAGTCTGCACCTCAGTGGTTTCATACATCCTCACCTTGTGTGGTGTTATAAAGGAGAGGCCACAATGCACAGGCTTCAGACTCTGTGGAAGTCTTGCCTTCCCGGTGTGAAACACTGGCAAGTTGCCAAAAAGGCAGCTTTGAAAGAAAGGCATTTGCTGTGGATGCGGTGCAACAAAGCCTGACCCCGTGCACGGTGCAAAAAAAAGCAGTCTGCTGGTGCACAAAAGCCCCCACACACAGTTTTGCATGTGGCCCCAGACCAAAACATGAACCCACACAAAAGTAATCTCAGGTCAACGCACCACAGGAATTTACTGCACCATGCAACTTCTAACTACAACATTCTGTGAAGCACAAAACATTTATCACACATGTAATCGCAGGTAAAACTCACTTCGATGTAAGACGATTTCTATTGTGCAGATACAAAAAAGCATAGCTTTCTCACATGTAAAATCGCATGCAAATCAACTTGGCTCACAAAAAGCCGCACGAAAAACACCCACTGTGACAAGATTTACCTATGCATTGTTTCTGCTGTGTCCTGTTTTCCTTGTGCAATCCTTATGCTTTGTTTGTGCTGTTTCGTGATTTTCCTGTGCATTCCCTATGTAAACTTGTGCTGTTTGGCCGTTCTCGTGTTTTTTACTTTAGGGCAAAATTTAGGTATTTTGTAACCTAAATTTTTAACTCAGGGTAAATCCAGCCATTTCGTAAAAACAGGGAATCTGGAGACTCAGG